TCCCTGCTCATTGCACGGGGGGTGGAACTAGATGAGCTTTATCCTTCTAACCTAAGGTCCCTTCTAACCTAAAGTATTTTGTGATCTCAGTCCAACAGGCAACAAATTGTCCACATGAAGAATGCTGCTTCCAGTAATCATACACTGCTTTTCTTTCTATTACTTTATACAGCACTAAAGACAACTCTCATCTGGAGCATATCAACGAAGTTCTTCTTCTTCAAGTCAGATCCCATAGTTCTAAGTTGTGAGAAACTGAACTGAAATCAGATTCCACTGTCCATTGTCTCAAAGAATGGTATAAGAAGCTGAGATGGGATTCCAGAGACAATTGTCTGAGAGATGGGTGTGAGGAGCTAAGACTCTTCCATTATCTTGGGGACTGGAGTGAGGAATTGCTGCCCATTATCCCAAGAACTGCTGCATATGTGCAGTTTAGAGCTGGTTGCAAGACCAGTGATACTGGTCCACCAGAAACACTTAGTATGTGACATTAAGAACAGAGGTAGTCCTCCCAACTCATAATAAAAGGGGGAAAAGGTAATCATGAGCAACACCTCTATGAGGACACCTCCATGAGGACACCCACCTTCAGCGACACTATGGGCTCTTGGGGACACTCTGCTCTGACACCAACTATGGACCCTGGAGGACTCTCACCACCTCTGATACCAACTATAGACCCTGGAGGACTCCCACCACTGAGGATAATGACCATGAATCAGTGGGACACTGCTAGATCCACAATGGTGCCTATCTCTCTACACCCTAAATTCCTGCTTCATTTCTTTTTCTTTTTTTATCTGTCCTGTCGCTATCTCCTTTTTTATAATAATTGTTGCCTCTTAATAAACAAACTGATTGATTACTGTATTTGCCCTCACTTGCGTCTTAATTTCAGTCTTGAGACCAAGAACAAAATAGGTCTGTGTAGTGGTTTAAGTTCAGCCTGTAACTCAGAACCATGCAGTTCTCTCATGCCAACCACCTTCTTTCCTCCCCCCCACCCTGGTCCTAGGGGGATGAAGAGAAGAATTGAAAGAATGTAAAGCCCACAGGTTGAAATAAGAACAGTCCAATAACTGAGGTATAAAAAAAGTCTACTGCTGCTACCACCAGTAATAATAATGATACGTGAAATAACAAGGGGAGAGAATATGACACGAAAAGGGGAAAAAGAAAAGAAAACAAACACAAGTGATGCACAATACAATTGCTCACCACCCACCAACCAATACCCAGCCCAACCAGAACAACAGTCTGGGCCTTCCAAGTAACTCCCTCTAGTTTATACTGGGCATGATGTGCTGTGGTATGGAATACCCCTTTGGCTAGTTTGGGTCAGGTGTCCTGTCTCTGCTTCTTCACAGCTTCTTGTGCTCCTCTTCATTGGCAGAGATGAGAGATGGAAAAGTCCTTGATCAGGGTAAACATTACTTGGCAACAACTAAAACCATCAGTGTGTTATGAGCACTGTTCTCAGACTAAAGCCAAACACACAGCACTGATTCAGCTACCAAAAAAGAGAAAAATAACTGTTACAGCTGAACGCAGGACAGTCCAACACTGAGTTTTTCTCCAGTTGTACACTGACATAAGTAAGAAAACCTATCATTCTTGCCAGTTACAACAATATCAATTCTACATTTTCCTGAACAACAGAATGTATGTTACCAGTTTTCTGCACCTAGAGCCAGCCTATCTATGTATGTAAAAAAAAAAAAAAAAAGAAGTTCAACAGAGTGGTCTTCATAAGAGTGTTTTATTATTATCTTACCCTCAATCTGTTCCTTTGAATGGGCTATCCCTTCTTTGTGTTTCCTTTTAGTATTAAGGACAATTTCTGCAGAGAAAAGTGTGAAGCTAATCTGTGGTGGTGACAGCTTTTGTTAGTATGCAGGTGTGACTCCACTGCAATAGGGAGGTCACTTCAGAGCCTCCTGCAAAGCCATTCCTCTAAATATCCTATTACATCTTCCTCTTCTTTAGCTCCAAGGTAAAAAGGCTCCAAGTTTTACATAGTAAACATGGATAAACAGAAACTATTCTTGATATTTTTCTCATTAATTCCCATTTTTAATAAATTACAGCACTTGGAAACATGGTGTTTTACGTTTTGTTTATAAAAAAAGTTTTGAATATATTTTATGATTTTGCTTTCATATAAGAATCATTGGATCAGATCCTCCTTTGTTTGATCTCACAAGCAATAAGATTTCCCAAAATGGTATGCACAACTTCACATTTACTTCTGAGCAAGTGTTCACACAGGCAGTGTGAAACAACATTCTAATTTCTCTGTTTGTGTTCCTGCAACTAAACCTTAAATGTGCCTTTAAAATAGAAATTTGCTTAAGATTTTTTGCATGATATTTATAATTAAAGATCTTGGGGGAGGTTAAGTTGTTTTAGTACTTTTCAGGACATAAAAGCATTTGATGTTTTGCAATAAGATTTACTTCCCTGATCAACAACTGAAATTGTTGTGAATCTGATCTTCTCTAAACAGTGCAATTTTAGTCACTTTAAATCAGATCTACCTTCCACTATATCCATTGTCAGCATGCAAATAGGAGAACTAGTTCTGAATCCTTCTGATAAGTTTAAAGTCCACAGATTTGCCCTAGATCTTCCTTTGCCCTACTTCTCTTTTGTCGTTAAATTTACTCTGATAAAGAATCTGTGAACTACAGAATTTGATCTATTATTTCTCACTTGTGGTTGCATTCAACTTCTAAAGTCGATGCCCTGATCTAATTTTTGTGGTTGTGATTCATGTCTATGACTGAAAAGAAAATCACCAGAGAACTGAATTGTATTGCCTCAGCTCTTCACATGTAAAGTTCATGAGCTCTAAAAAGTTCAAAAGTTGAAAGGACTTAATTTTTTAGTTCAAATGCTCCATACTGGGAAGACAAGGACTTCTTTTTGGTAATGATGTGGGGCTGGCTGTTTATCAAGACAACAAAGGCTACCTGCTGAGCTGGCCCCAAGCCCTGCAGCCAATCTCCCCTCATGAGTAGATGTGCTCCAGGCCCCAACACGGAAATAGTTGGGAGAAAAATGTACCAATGCCTAGAAAGAAGCTTAAATTTTGGACAACCAAGTCAACAAATAGACAAAAAGATATCATTATGTATAGATGCTGTTCCATTTTGGGGAGGATTGAAAAATTAGTTGGTGTACACACACATTTTTATTAAATTAAAATATGTGTTAATTACACAAATAAAACATGATTTTATTTAGATTTAGATTTATTTAAATTTCAGATTTAGATAGGTAGGTAGGTAGGTAGATAGATAGATAGATAGATAGATAGATAGATAGATAGATAGATACTCAGGAAAAAATCCTCCTGAAATAAAGATTTTCAAACTGAAGTGCTGTTGTGTTGAATTTCAAGCCAAAATATATGGCCTGGGGTAAGCAAAAGCCAGCTCGTGTATGTCAGGCTGGCGTGGCAGTAGTATTAGTAGGCAGTAAGCTTCCAGTCCTAGTGGGTACAGAAACCAAAAAAACCCACTCAGTATAATTTTGAAGGTATTTCAACTGCTTTTGAGCTCACTTAAAAAAACAAGCTATTTCCACAGATGACTAGACCAGCTGTAAACCTCTGAAAGAATCTACCTGACATTATTTCTCCATCCTGATAAAAAAGTCCCTGCCTTACATTTGTAAATTAGAGTAAGTTTTCTAATTTAACATTATAGCAAGCAATTCCTATGTAAACTTGGCAGAACTTTTGAGGGCAAATAATGCATTGGAATCAATGAATAAGGGAAGGGGTGAGTCTACAACCTTAAATGCTGAATTACTGAACCTGTTAGATGAGAACGTACTAGAAACTAATCTTTATGGAAAATGCTGGGTAATCATTCTTTCCACCTCAGTATAACTGACTCTGATATTATACCTTGTTTATGATTTTGAGTCCAGGGCTCCTCTGAGCTTCTAAAGTGAGTGTAACTCAACACCTTCAACTACACACAGAAACTTTCTACATTGTGCATATTTCTATGCCAGAGACTAAATAACAAAACATTCCTTTCTCAAACATCCTGTGTGGAAAGTTATATTGTTTAACCAACATCTTCAGACCCACACAGATAAAATCAAAATCAAACACATCTGCTATGTTTTTCCTCTGAGCATTAGTGTCTTGGTAATAACAAGTTCCATTCCCTTAAATGAGTGAAAACAGCAGGCATGTTCCTTATGGGTTTTTTTCTGCTTTTGTTGGGTGGTAAGTTGGCAGCATCAATTGTATTAGTATTTCTGTCAGCACCCACATTAAATATGTTTCTTTATGGGAGAAATCACATTCCAACCTACTCTGGACATCTAAATTTATATCTTTCATCCCACCCAGACTGAAATCCAGCTACCACCTGGATTCCTGTGGCAAGTTACACAACTGAGAAAATGCAGCATGGCTCTGTAATAATTTCAGGCTCTTTGCAAGAGATATCAAGGAACATAATTTGAAGTTAGATATTTAGTATTCTGCCTCATTTATAGATAAGGTTTTTAATTCATTGGCTTCAGATTATTCATGAGCAACCAATGTTCAACACAAAGAATGTTTTGATCAAACATTTGGCACTTCTGATAAAGGTTGTTTGCTGACTGTATGCAACTTTTTGGAAAACTAGAGTCCTTATATTCATATTCACATTCACAATTCCAAATTTAATTACTGTAACTGTTCTGAATTGCTTTACACACTTTGTTTTGACTAATGCTCATTGCCTAGCTCATAAGCCCACAAGATGAACTGACACAGTTGGATCAAATACAAAAGAACTTGGTGGTGGAGGCTGAGGGACATAAAATGCTCTCCATCAGTTTTGATGACAGGGTTCTACAATAAAAGTAGAAGTCCAAGGTTTGTATCCACCAGGGCTGTCACAGGAAATCATATGTGATATCTCTAAGCACACATTAGTCTACAAGAAGAGCTTCACATCTAACTGTGCTCCCTCCACTTTCCCATTTACCTTGGTTCCCACTTGCAAGCACATGCTTTGCTCAGACAGGGAACATACCCAGATGATGTGTTGCAGGGGCTTTCAATGCAACTGCTCCTTTTCACATCTGGGACAGCAGCAGTTTCTCAGCTTAATGTTTTTCAACAATCTTTCTACCATTTTCCTTGCAATTCCTTTCCTCCATCCCAAGACTCCCACAATGAACATGCTTCTGGAGAGCTGGAGGAAAGGTGAAATATCATGAAATAGTTTTGTTGTATGGTAATAAATCACAAGTCTCTCACCGATAACTCTTCAAACATGCAAGTAAAGTAGAATAATTTGAAATCAGGATCTTTCTTTTTTCCTCTCTCCACTGTACTTTATTGATGGGTGAAAGGCTAATGTAGTCTCAAGTGTTCTGTGTCCGCCCCAACTATTTCATTTCAACAAATAACCTTGCTGTGAATACATTTTAATTAGTGATTTCATACTTGGAATTGCACAGTTGTAATACAGTAGGTGTGCGGATCTATTGAAATACTATAAAAAAGGCATGATCATTTTCAAAAGCTCTGTTGGAATAATGCAGGTAAAAATTTCCCGTGCTGGTATCTGTTTTCTGTGTCCAATGTATCATTAGCACTTAGCATTCCCTCCGTATTTATAAAAGGGTAGATGCTTGGACTTCAGGATGCCCCCACAGTGCTGGAGATTTTTCATTCTTTGTTCGGTATTGCTTGCTGAGATCATTGTAATGAAGAGAGGATTTTTATCTCATTTGATAATTTTGGTCTAATTGATTGAAAGATATTACAAAGAAAAATTGGAACAGCCCATGAGATTCAAAAGAATTTTCATAACTCTATGTGCCTGATGTGGGATCTTTTAATACAATGTGGAATAAAACAAAGTAGGGCCTAGGAACAAAAAATTAAAACCTTGTCATATGTGTTAGTGTTGAAGGCAGGCTGACAAACCAAGAGTTTTGAGGAGCAGTGAAAGAAAAATCTTCAAGACCTGTATCTGAACTTACAAACAAGATGCTTGGCTTCAGCCTAGAGGGACATGGTATAAAGTTAAAGGGGGTGATAATATATAATGTGATTAAATCAGGCATTAGTTTCATTAACTAGGATTGCTGCTTAATTAATTTGGCTCTTGCTCTCAGGACAGACAGTGTGACACAGAACAAAAAGAATGATAAAGGCCAAATGGATTTTTAAATACCAGTCTGCATTTGATATGCAAGTTCCCTTGAAGGGGATTTGGTTTGGTTTCTTTGTTTTGCAAAATTATCATGCTTAAGAAAACTGCCAGAAATTCACTGGCATGTCAATAGAAATAAGAAAGTGTTCTGAAAATGTAGGCAATTTACACCTACTACAGTGACTACAGTTAAGGAACATGTACATATATATATAAGCTGTCATATCTGCTCCCTTTAAATCCGTCATAATGTCAGTGTAGACATTTGGCAAGATTTCTGCCCTGCACATAGTCTGAACGAGTGGGCTGCCTTCAGCTGTTGTATGTGCTGGCACCTGAGCCAGGGTTTTCAGCCCAGGGAAGAGTAACCCAGCAGCAGAGGACAAAGGGAAGAGCTGCAGGGTCTGAGCAATGCCTAGGCTCTTTACAAAGAAGAACACAATGTGATTTTCCTAGGCTCCTCATTTCTGGGAAAAAGATGATGGTGGTAACAACTGGCAAGAGCATATCTTTGCTTTCCCATGTCCTTTGGGTTTTTGTTGTCTCTGATCTAGAATTTTAGAGAGGAAGTACCTGCAAAACTTGGGTGCCATTCATGCTGAAGTTCTGACCCTCTTCTGACACATATACAATACTGAAGTCTTAATTGACTGTTTAGCATGACAGTAGCTCGCAGAGGAAAATTTGCTGCCTGTGCAGCTCTGCTTGCAGCTGTTGTGATACAGAGAAAGCATGAGAGTCCTCAGGTTCTGATCAGCAATGGGATTGGAGTGTCAGCTGCCACTTAATGTAGCATGCCAGCATCACACATAATGCAGCTGAATGTAGTAATGTTTTAGCCAGTGGTGTGGTCATTTTGTCATGGATATTGTATTGATAGTACCTAAAAATAATCAGTGGCAGGAGAAAAGCTGATGGTCTCAGAACAAATTCACATGAAAAGGAGTGAAACAGGACTGTTGATATTCCATTTGAAATTTACTAGTTCAGAAAATGAGACTTTCAATACATTGTAAAATTACAGATTACAAAAGCAATTTACTGAATCTGCTATGCCTTTAAATGTGCATCTTACTGAAAAGGCTCCACAATGTGTGCTTACACTTCTGTTGCAATGCAGACCTGGCATCTGCTTCATTCATCCCTCATCTATACTCCATTATTTCATGATTTCTCTTGACCAGTGCCTAAATTTCGTGAATCCTAAACACCAGAGTCTCCAAATGAGAAGAGCCTGGCTTCCAGGGAGAAGGAGCTTATTTGCATATACCCTCCTCAGGCAAGCATAGCAGCATCCCTGTCTGCAGCAGTATATGGGTCCTAATTAATTACCTATACATTGCTCTAGGCAGGAAGGCGTTTTCATCAAGAGCACCAAGCAAGTAGTAGTTTTCTTTCCAGAGAAACCTCAAGGTATAAATACATCCAGAAGGTGTCATGAGATCACTTGTCTGAGTTCTTCAATATTAAGGGCTTTAGAAGAGGGGAAGGGAGGCTGGAACATGATGACTGAGAGGTCAGAAAGCAATCAGGTCACCTGAAATACAGCAGCCCTACAACTTGGTATCAAAAACCGGGGAAAAAAGAAAAAATATAAAGGACTCCCAAGTATCAACGTTTAGTCAGTGATGGAAGAAATCAAGACTGAGGTGTATGTGTATGGGTTTTTCTATGGGATGCTTGGGAAGAAATCTGAGAAACCTGCATAAACTTGAAAGGAATGTGTAATGAAGTAACACGACAGCAGAGAGTTTAACTAGATAGGGGTGGGTAAAGAGATAAGATATAAGAACACTATGCAAGGACCTCACAAATTCTGTATCATATACATTCTTAACTATCAAATTTTAAAAGGGGAGAGGAGTATATTGATATTACAAAATAGAAGAGAGTCTGGTTTGCTTTGTGCAAATAAAGCTTACAAAATATTGTGTATTACTGAAGAAAACAAAGCACAAAAGATAGTTCCAGGAAAAATAAGGACTGAAATCAACAAATAAACAGGGAATAACAACATTTATCCACACCTGCTGCCTTGTAGTTGCTGGAAATTGAACATCTTGGATGCATCTATCTGTACTGGGCAAATAGAATCATAGAATCGTAGAATAGTTAGGGTTGGAAAGGACCTTAAGATCATCAAGTTCCAACCCCCCTGCCATGGGCAGGGACACCTCGCTCTAAACCATATTACTCAAGGCCTCGTCCAACCTGGCCTTGAACACTGCCAGGGATGGAGCATTCAAAACCTCCCTGGGCAACCTATTCCAGTGCCTCACTACCCTAACAGGAAAGAATTTCCTCCTTATATCCAATCTAAACTTCCCCTGTTTAAGTTTTAACCCATTACCCCTTGTCGTACCACTAGAGTCCCTAATGAAAAGTCCATCCCCAGCATCCCTATATGCCCCCTTCAGATACTGGAAGGCTGCTATGAGGTCTCCACGCAGCCTTCTCTTCTCCAGGCTGAACAGCCCCAACTTTCTCAGCCAATCTTCATATGGGAGGTGCTCCAGTCCCCTGATCATTCTCGTGGCCCTCCTCTGGACTTGTTCCAACAGATCCATGTCCTTTTTATGTTGAGGACACCAGAACTGTACACAATACTCCAAGTGAGGTCTCACGAGAGCAGAATAGAGGGGCAGGATAACCTTCTTTGACCTGCTGGTCACACTCCTTTTGATGCAGCCCAGGATATGGTTGGCTTTCTGGGCTGCAAGCACACACTGCTGGCTCATGTTCATTTTCTCATTGACCAGCACCCCCAAGTCCTTCTCCGTAAGGCTGCTCTGAATCTCTTCTCTGCCCACCCTGTAGCTGTGTCTGGGATTGCTCCAACGCAGGTGTAGGACCTTGCACTTGGCATGATTACCTTGCACTTGGCATGATGTTTATTGTCCTAGGTGAAAGTCTGGAAAAATCAAAACCCCTGGGGCACATCCTTCTTTTTCAGCAAGTTTAGTCAATGAAGCTATTAACATTTAGAACACCTGATGATATGCCTCCCCTTGTAACTGAAACTCTACTTTTCCCAGATATGGCAATTTTAACAGAAGCAGAAGAGCAGGAAAAGGGTCCATTCCATTTAGTCCATTTATACTGAGCTAGACTAGATCTGAGTTAGAACAGATACTTCTTATCCCCCAGGAAAACGGTTTCTGTTAATTTCTTGGTAAGGGATTCACCCTTGAGTGAATTCATGTGCTCCATAAACCTGTTCAAGAAAAGGCAGAGGGACACACTGCCTATTTCCACCTCTCACTCTCTTCTTTCATCTCAGTGTGCATATTACAAGTCAAAGAGAGAGGCTATATTTTATTCCTGACTGACTGTTTCAGTTTTCCAGAAATGAGCAAATACCCAAGACTGCACACCAATCTTAGTTCAAAGCACACTCTGGTTCCTATAGAAAAACTACTCCCCTTCTCATTGCCTTTTATGAATGGAAGTAGATGATTGCCCTGTGTGGTTGAGTGTAAGGAAAACAGGTTGGTAAGGTGTTTTCTGCACTAGCACCTATATACTTTTTGGGTCTCCAAATTAGGATGCAAAAGAAGAACGCAGTCTTTGCCTTAGCCAAATGTAAAGGGAACATTTTTGCATATTTTTGATATGTGATCTTATCAGCAGACAGCTTTACTTTTCAGTGACATAAATCCTTGTAATCCCACAGTATAGAAATCTGACAGTACAGGAAGTAATCTTTATGATGGATAAAAGTCTTTGCACAGCATATATTGCACCACAGGATAATTATTTATTACTGTTGTTAGCATTACTGAGTGTTTAATGTACTTCTGGCGAGTGAGCAGAAAATAAGCAGGACCTGGTGACAACATTAAGAATGTACTTCTTCACATGGCAAGTAACTTCTTTAGATTCCTATCAGGCTGTAACATTTTCCCCCTACATGCAAGAGCATTAAAATAAAAACTTTGAATATATAAATCAGAGAAGGGTGAGTTCAGGGCCAAGAAGGAGACGAATGAATTCTGTAGATGTTAAAGCTGAAAGGGGCCTCTTAGATCATCTTGTTACGCTTCCCTTCCCATTGCTACTAACAACTGCTAGTGTCATGAAAGTATAATCTTACATAGTAAAAGTACAGAAAAGAAATATTGGGCTCTCCCCTCTGGCTGCTCATCAGTGCATTAACGTTTTCTACAGAATATTTACTACAGCTTTATTT